CTTTAAATCTTGAATCTGTATAAATCTGTAATAAATCTGTCTTTAAATTAAATATATATATATATATATATTCTTGCTATTTATCTTCGTATCTTATAGATTTAAAGCAATATATCTTAATATATTTAAATCTAAATTTAAATATGTTAAATATATTACTTTAAATCCATCAAATACAAAGATGCAAGAGTATACGTATCTAATTTCTGAATCGGGTAAAAGAGTAGAACATGAATCTTTTAGTGATTCTCCTATAAAAAGTGAAAGATGAACTGTTACATGTTTTTCTCTATAGTCCTCGAATCGTATAAATTTAGTATTCAAAAATTACAGAAATTAATGCAAAAATTGGCAGCGCTAAACCTGCACGATGATATAAATCTTTTTTTAAAAGTCTCCAACACCTCGAGCTAGCGAAGTTGATAGTGGCATTGATCGACAAAGGAAGAAGAACACTGGAAAGATCGTTGGCTCGAAACGTGGAAAACGGGTGGAGAAATCTGTAGCATTTGCATCGGCAGGGTTAATCTTCAGGGCATATCGTTGGTCGTCGTCGTGGTTGTTGGTGAAATCACGCGGCAAGTTCAGAAACGTGGAAAGATGGCGTCGATCCTCTCACACGGCGCCAATATAACGCCCGTTGGCTCGCGCCCGCCGCTGCTGCCGCCTGCAGTAATAACATAATGGCACAGGAAGAGAATGCGTTTGACTCGCGATCCAACACGACTCCGGAATCCGAAGAGTTCCACGTACGAGCGGCCAAACATCCCTAGTATTCCTCGCGAAAAGCATAAACCACTCGACGAGCGTTGTTTATCGTAGACAATTTACGCCAGGTTTACGCGTGCTCCCTCCGCCGCCCTCTCGATCCCTGAACACTGGAGAGAGATTTCCAGAAAAAAGGAGCACCGAGGGAAACTCTCGCTTCATTGAAGGAAACCAACTATGTGCGCGTGTACGTAACAATGATCGAAAGAGAGAGAACGAGATTCAAGATTTCGCGATTCGATTTACCCTTGGCAGAATTCCATTTTATTGGACGAATGCCGGATACCTGAAAGTATAAATGATCCAGTGAGCAAGATATAATCGCGGGGACAATGCGTGCCGTGCTCGTTAATTCTTTCGTTGTTAATTAACTGTTGCACAACTGTGCGCGATCAGTAAAGATTTATTATACTTGCGTACAACAAACGTATCGCGATATCATAAAATATGATATTCAGTGAGTAAATTGTTACAAGAATCTATGTGATTTAATTTAAAAAAATCGATAATCTGTGAGTCGAAGAAATTATCAAGCACAATTCACATCATTTGGAATTTCGACGAAAACAATCTGCAATTTAGGTATCTTTCTTTAAAAGCAGTATATTGATGTTGTGATATATGAATTATTATTTAACATCGAAATATTACACGAAGGAGTAAGTTGTAAGTAGGACAATCAAAAATATCGTAACCTTGAAATACTTCCCCATTGACGAAGAATAATACGATGCCACGGGTTATATGGCTAAGTTTACGTTTCACAAGTTTTCCTATGCACTGCAGTGTAGCGCCATAAAGAGGCACATAACCATTTCGGGCCAAGTGTGTTGAACACGACCTCTGCACAGACCTCGTACAGTCGAATTGTGACGTGAAATTTCTTTTTCGTTTTTAGCTCGCCTTAAGTACTGATTATCAAGCACGTTTATCGCATTGCTTTTTACTTTCCATTCTTCTTTTTCTTCTTCTTTTTTTTTTTTCTTTTGCTTTTACGATACCGTGTTTCACGTTGAAACTTTGTTGACTGAAAATAATTAGTGATTCTTCTAAGAAAATGATTCGCTTTATATTTACAGTAAGAGTCGAAAGTGAGTATACAACTAATGGATTATTTATTATTAAGACTTATTATTATTACCAAGTATTTTGGAGTATTTATTACTATTATTTAGTATAAGTAATTTAGTATCACTACTAAGACGAAGTGATAATGTGACAGTGTAATATGATGTTTATAACATTTCAAACATATGAGACAAAAATCTAAAGAAAATACAGAACTTGTAAATATTAAACATGACGGAGATAATATTATGATCTGGAGTAGCACGGCACAGTTTTTGTTCATTGTCAAATTAATTAAAAGTTTAAAAAAAAGTTAATTTTTACTGTACTACGGACAAATCCAGTGTTTCAGTATATCTTAAAATCAAATTTAGCTGCAACTATTATAAAAATCACACTGTTAGATTTACGAGATTTCTCTTTGAACAAGATCATGACTAAAATTTCTAAGGAATCCCGTGCCTTCAAGATGTATATTCACTTTTGACTCTCACACATAAATACCCTTCCAATTTAATCAGCTTCCCGTCAATTTAATCAGCACCCCGTACATTATTTTCGTTTCATCTAAATCAGAAATACACGTGATGTAATACCAAACTTGGAATGCAAATGTAATACTTAATACGTACATACACGTACAGAAAGATGGTGGCGTCGTTTGTCGATGGGCACGCTTGAGACGTTGATTTAGATGAGCGTGATTTCCGAGTTGGCTACTTGTTGTCCGAGAGTGCGGAGAGAAGCGATTGGTGCGTGCACTGGAACTACAAGGAAGGTGCGCAAATCTGATTCCCTTTTACTCCTTCCCTTCGACCGTTTCGCCCTGTCTCTGTCCGGCAGAAAGTCGCCACTAATGATACAAAGAGGAATGCTGTCCGCGCGCTTTGGTGCGAGCACTTCTCGCGGTAGCCATTTGTAATTTCGCAGGTGAGAAAAAGGGTGGCGAAAAAGTCGAACGAAATGGCAAGGAGATGTTGTACTCGCAATTAACGACGCACGCTGCCAGCTATAATTAAAATCGTACGCCACTCCTTCCCTCTGTCTCTCCATCCTTCTCCAAGCATCAGTCGCGGCTTGGTAGATTGCTGATTTTCAGATTCCGACGACCACCTTCCCTTTGTCACTGTTCCAATTCAATTACCAGGGAAAAGTCGTCGAGAGTTCATTAGAGTAATGATCGAGTTACATGATTCATTGCTTCGACAGCCGGCCGGTAGTTTCTTTCTCGAGTTCTCGGTTAATTTAATTAAGGTGTTGGCTCGAGATGAGTAATCTGGGCGAGGCTATTGCGCCACGTATTTGTTGCTCTGAATTCGTCAGCTTCTTATTTCAAGACTTTTATCTTTCCATCTGACGCCTTTATCTTTCCCAGCGAAATATTGTCAGCGTCCATGTATCGCAAGGAAATTGCACGAACGATAACAAGAAAATAATTCTTTTTACGTCCAGAGCAACTGTCGCTTTTTTTACGTACATAAAGTAAAAACTAATCTATCCGTTTCGATAATTGTATCTCGTTCCATCTTCAAACAGACTCCTATCGACAGATTGTTATAACGGATTGCGTTACCTCCGAAGCGAGTTCGAAACTCAACACGAAAGTGCAAGGCGAGCAAACAAGCAAATCGGGAGGCAGCAAAACGAAAAGGAAAGGTTAGGAAATCAGAGAACCCGACGATGACAGAGTCGACAGAATATTACAGAGGTTTGCCAGGAGTTAATTCCCCGGGGGCCGAGAAGGGACTGTTTTAATTAGAGAATCTAATTGATGGCCGCGTACGGCGCGGCTGCCGAGCAATCCATAAACGACTTCTTAGGGCCGCGCACCTGGGCACCACGGCGTTAATTACTCTCCTTCTGTGGCCGGGTCCTTCCATCTCCATTCTCCGCCTCATCCTCCTCTTCCTTCATCGTTACTCTCGTTTTTTTTCCCAAGGTCTCTTGACTTGCGAGCCTGAAAGAGGTACAGCTTGAATATAATGGGGTGAGAGAGCAAAGAAAAAAAAAAAAATTAAAAGAAAACAGAAAGAGAGAGAGAGAGAGAGAGGGAAGGAACGATCGACTTGCGAAGAAAGAAGAAAGGAGGACGCGTATAAAGAAAGAGAGAGAGAGCGAAGGGAAGAATGGGGCGGCAAGGGGGAGAGAAAGCAACAAGTGTCCCCCGTCGCGAGGCGCAAAAGCATTCCTAATTACGCCCCTGCCCTTGGAGCGAAACGAGACAAAAAGCGCGTTGATTACATTTTCGTATAATTTCATCGGTCGGCGCTCGCCATTAAGAGCCACCACCGCGCGCAAATTAGATCGATTCCTTAATGCCCCGGGCCGCGTAATTGGTTCTCATTCTCGGAAGCTGACGGTGAAATCGGATATCTGTCGTGTAGCCACAGCCACACTGGACAGAGCCAGACTGTGGCAGTGTGCTGTTGCTGCTCCTGCTCTTGCTGCTGCTGCTGCTGCTGCTGCTGCTGGATGTTGTTGGTATTGCTCGCTCCTTGGATGCTTGGTGTGGTAGTGATGGTCGGTGGTGACCGCCGCCGCCGCTGCTGTCGTTGGTGCCAGTGGAGGACCGGTCAACGTAATTGCTTCTCCGACTGTTTTGCGGTTCCGCACCGAAACCGTTCGCCGGCACCAGAGGAATATCGTTAATGTCGCGATACGTGGCTCCGATAATGAAGCGAGAAACGCTTTTTGCCAGACACCTTGCGGGATGTTAATGAATCGCAAGGGGTCCACGGGGCTCTTATTTCGACGCATTAACCCACCGCGAAATTTTGCGGAGGCCGCGGTCTCGCGAAACCGTGATGCGTGTCGTGATTGCTTGCGAAATTGAAAATATTCTCTTGGTCGATATATAATAATACCCGCGCGCGCAGGTTCGAATCGGGGCCTCTCCGATTCGTTTGAAGTGACAAGCGTGCCTTTGAATTATAACTGAACGTGATGTATCGTCGTTGCGAACTGTTACATTAGGTCGATCGCCAGTTTTTGGGTCTAATAATACGAATACTTTCAAGTCGTTAATCCGTCAGGTTTATGGGATGTCTATTGGCTTGATTGGCGACAATACGATCCTTGCATTTTATTGAAACAAACGAGATAAATTATCGAAATGAAGAAATGTTGTAGATTGTATTTCATGTTGGGTCTTGGTTTTCTTGCAGTGGTACAAAGTAGACAAGGCGAAAATCCGGGAGGATTTGCTCCGTTTATGGATCCCCCTTGGAACAGGACTCCAACACGATCAACCTGACAGAACCGCCGAGATCTTCCTAACAAAATCCATCGAGCGATCGGACTCCTTGCCGCTGCAAGCGTGGCATTCCTTGGCAAGGTCCGCTTTGTCCTGGTTCATCAGCCGAACTTCCATAAATGGGTGAGTATTGCAAGCCACAATACGAAGAAGTCGGAAAATTACTGCGTCAAATACGTTATACGTTCTACTATTTGCATGTTTAATATTTTACGATAAGATAAGAGAACGCGAATGTATATTTTATTCGTAAAGATATTTTTTTCACTGATAAATGTTTTATCAGCGTGCATACTGTAACGTAACTGCGTAATATAATAACACCTATCTAATATCGATACAATGCTTGATTAAAATCTTATCTAAATTCTTTATGCTTCTATCATTTTCAAAGATTTACATTTTACTTAAACGCGAATTCTTTCAAAATCGATTTCAAAACTTTAAATTGATAATTTAGAAGCTAAACCAACCAAACGCATGCAACATATTGAAACATGTTACATTGTAACACGTAATATTATAACTCGTTCAACAAAAGAATATGCGTACCTTAATATAACACGTACCATTAGATCAGCAGTTAAAATTAACCAAATCGTTATGAAAATAACCAAAATATGTCGATTTTAGATACTTTATACTTTCACGATGATTCTCAAGCATAGAAATTGTTTAGTGTATTGCACTCGGTTGTCAACTCGAGAAACCATCAGTCTCTCCAACTACATACGTAAAACATATTTAAGAATGCAATTTACAATGCAAGAACGCGTCAGCGTCTCGATAATTTTGACAATGTTGCATGTGTGACCCTCGTGAGAGTCCGCCTTCTACGTGACACCTATCAATAATCTCTCCCCCGTACAACCGGAAGCAAACCCCGTGGAAAAATACATCCACCGACAACCCGCTGATCCATAGACTTCACCCTCGCGAGTATCTCTTTATGTCTTGCTACGGCAAGGCCTCGGCCTCGACCTTGCCAAGGCAGATCGTTTGCGAGGTGATGAAAGGAGGCTTTCCCTTCTCGCCGGTTAATTAATAACCACGCAGATACGATCTCCGCCTATCTGGCTGTCCGATGAGGCTCGACAACCTGGTGGCAAAGGCTCTCCTCTCTCTCGGTTGTGCCCCGGTTCAGGTGAGTCTCCTCCTCTCGACCGAGGGCTAGACAGGATAGAAAGAGAAGGAAGGAGAGCTCTAGCACACAGGAGGCACGAACGAGATAGAGACAGATGGCAAGGAGTATCTGGGCAGAGTGATAGGGAGGGGGGAGGGGAGAATGGTTATTGATGACCAGCTTTGTTTGCCCCCCCGAACCGTTTATTAAAATCCAACGCGGGTGATTAACCCCTCTCTCTCTCTCTCTCTCTCTTCGCGTCGCCCTGGCAGCTACCAGACGAAACACCTCCGCATCGCAGTGTGCCGCCTGTGTATATGGGATTGACCAGGGAACCGTTTATTAAAATCCAGCACGGTTATATCCGCGTGCTACTAGGCGGGACAGAGAGCGAGCCTGGCTGTAGTAGCCGTTCGCTCGCGATGAATTAGAATGACGAGCTGCTTTTCCTTTTTCTCTCTTTTTTCTGGCCGGACTTACCGGCACCGGCGTAGGTAGGATTGAGCAATTAACGCATTTACCGGGGACGGATATAGCTGGACGGAAACGTCGCAAGATGAATTTCTCACGAAACTTGGAGATTTCCTTTTGTCAAGTTAGGTTGATTTTTTTTACTGGTCGTTGATGAAAAACAACACGCAATTGCGTATTGCGAAAAGTATTTTGAAATTCTGAAATTTTGAATGCACAGCAGTGAGTTAATGAGCAGGCGAATGCAGATGTTGATGCGTATTTAGATTTACATTTACAGAAATTTCACTTTGTTACCGATTATCTGTCATAAAACAAATTATGAATTATTCTATTGGTTAAAAAAAAAAATATATTTTTATTGGAATCGTTACAATCGTGCAAATTAGAATTCTTTATAAGAAGAAAAGTAGAGAAACCATTTAAATTGGTAAAATCATACAAAAATATATATATATATATATATATATATATTGCAACATAAATTAAAGCATTACGAATATCAAATTATAAACTAAATTGCCAGAATATTTCAAACAATCCGTGAGGGAGAAATTCGTAATATCGGGTTAAATTTAAGAGGGGTATTATTCGCGATGTAAAACAAGGGAAGTAACTAAGCGTACACAATATTCCGCGTTCCAAATTGCATCGTCTTATCGGTTGGCCCTGTGCCGTGGAGTATCAAGATAACCTTCGTTTATATGTCCGAAATAATAATTCCACGATATCAGATAATTTTCGTTACGCTCGACCTCTTAACTTCCATAATCTCGCATTTGAGGTTGTTATTTTTAAAATAGGTCCTGTCGCACCTGTGTTATTTTCTTCCTAGCCACTTTCAATTCATTTACTTCAAGCGTATATATTGTTCTCGACTGTTATTTAAAGTCGGAGCTAGCTTAATCGAGAATGAATTTTCTTTCGATAAAAATTCACTACTGATGATTACTCCTATTTTTTACTATATTTCTATTGTTCTGCTGTTCAAATTTCACAACTTCGATTTATCGACGAGATCTTTTACGAATTATTTACCAAAATCAACGATAGTAAATTAAAAGAAATATCAACCTGCTACCAGACCCAATCAAATCCTGCTTTGAACGACAAACTCGATCTCGGAGGAAACTAGATCGATCCACGGTACATAGTGGCCTAATTCGATAATACTAGACACGCGTTTATTTTGACGCGATCAATCATCGACGCGGGGCCGTATTCCCCCTGTTTCCATCATGAAAATATCATACCGCGTCTCTCCATTGCACTGGAATTATCCCGCGTGAAAATTCCGCTCGCGCACGAAACAAAATTGCACGATAATGATGTCGTAACAACGTATACCGTGCAATTTCATCAGAACACTCCGTTAATGAATTTTTGGTTGAAAGAAGCCTGGTCTTTTCATTTTGCCAAAAATTTACAATTATCCGAAGAGTTGTTTAAGTTATCTGACGAGTTCGAACGAATTCTAATTCATCAAGTAACAAATTGGAGAATGAAAACTTCTATACAAACTATTCACAAATCGCCATTGATCATCACCAAACTTGAAACGTTGGATATATTTTACAAAAATATCATTCGAAAGGCAATATTGCAAATTGGCAAAATTATTTTAAAAAATGTTAAATCGGTCATTTTGATCGCTTTGGCAGTCCCAGTGTTAAACAGCAATTAGCAACCATTGTCCCCTGAACTTTTATTACACGTTATTCGCACGAGAGAGAACGTTGACACGAAGTGCAAGCCAGCAAACTAAGACGAGAAGAACGACAGAGTCACCTGGGTGACGTTCACGTGATGTTACAACGCGCTCCCGCTGAGAATATTAATTACATTCCCCTCACGACTGACCCCCTGCATCTTTGCTAGCTCCTGAGTCAGAAACCCGTTCTCTCGTCTCGCAAATTAATCATAATTAGCGATGAGATGTCCTCCGTCGGTTACCAACCAACACGAGAGGAAAAACAGCCAACGAGCAAAGAGATCGCGCGCGAATAGAAAAGATGAAGAAGAAAAGAGTTGCGTGATATTAGAAGAGTTAGCGGGGATCAGGAAGAAGAAGTAGAAGAACATGCAACTCTTTGGTCGATCGATCGGGTCTCTAAACTTTGCCTTCTTCGAATCTTCAACGCCACCTTGATTTCATTTTCGAACTTCGTTTCAGAACACACCGAATTTGTAACTTTCTTTAAAACGTGTGTGAAGATCAGCGTGAAAAGGCACGCTACATGCACATTCTTGTTCATCTTCTGCTTTTTCACTTTGTCACTTTATGATTGAACATAGAGATTTAATACAACGTGACACAATCGAAGAGGCAGAGTTCGATTATTCTGAGCAGAAGGTAACTTAAACAACTCGATCACGCTGTATTTTTGAATTTGTCAAAAAGCGTTGAGCCTTCTAGGGGAAAAAGGAGAGAGAGAGAGAGAGAAAAGAAAGAGTAGGAAGCTCCGAGTGGGGCGAAACTAAGGCAAGGCCCCGAGCGAAATTGCGCGCAATTTCCGAGGGACCGGCTAGCAGGTGAGGGCCCCGAATGTCGAACCGAATCGTTTCGCAGCTCCTCCGATGTCAATTAACAATGATTGCTACGTCGACGTCGAACGGCCATTACTTCTAATTGTCCGCCGGAAATGTTCTCCTTGAACCAGCGAGTTTCTGTTATTTCCACGGCTCCGCGATTGTATCCAGAATGCAAATTCGGTCGTTACTGGCTGTTTGCTCCGCGGAAACACGGAATAATTATAGCCCGGTCTATTACCGTTTCACTTCTAATGCCGGTGTTTCGTCGGCCTGCCCACCCATCGTCGATGCGTGCCTTCGCCCTGCTTTATCCTACCACTTTTGATAGCGTTCCGCGAATGGACGAAAAGCGAAAGAGTCGTGATCAACGAACACGGTAATTGAATGTTTCGCTTTCTCGTAACTTTTACAAGCGACGAGATACTCGCTACTCGGCTTCTGTCTGTTTGCGATCGTTTGTACGATAATTCGTGATTAAATGATTCTTTGAATAAATACGCGCTCGAGAGTATCGAGAAAATTTTCAGAGAGGATTTTCATCCTACAGATGATTTTTATGAAATTTGTTCTCTCGAACTGTGGATGTAATATCTGATGTTATTATTATTCACATCAACAAAAGTAATCTACATTCCTTTCTACATAAGATATTTGTCTGCAAGTTGCGTTGTTTCTTCAGAATTTTTATAAAAACACGACAGACATTGTTAACCTATCGAATATTAAAAAATACAAGTGAAATAAGTCATGGTTTAACAAAGATATAGGTATTAGTAAATAATAGTACCTACAGAGTAGATCCTTGAAATACCTAATAATGTCTATTAATTGACCAACAATGTAATGAAGAAAGTAATTGAGTTGCGCGAGAAGAGAGGGTGGGAAACGTCCGATCGATCGTAACAAAGTGAGACAAGGAGGTCTAACAGATTCTGAAGTCAGATGAAACACAGTAGCTAGTTTTTGTGTCGGGCCCCGGTCGTGTACAGAACTTCAG